ATGTGTGTGTGTGTGTGTGTGCGTGTGCATGCGAGCGGACAGAATATTATACGTGTCGTTCAGGGTAGAGGGGAAGTGATGGTGGGGAAGGGGTGGGGATGGAGGTGGAACGGGGTAGGACTTAAGGGATTATGATCCGGGTAGAAGGCAGTTTTAATGGCCATTTATCAATGTCCGGCCCGGGACGAGAGGAAAGCAGAGGTGAATGGAGTCAATCAGTCCTCACAGTCAGCGGCCGCCAGTAGGGGGCGCCACAAACTATGCTAATGAAGATTCACACACCCAGCGAGGGAGGGGTAGCATTGGAGACGAACATGGGCGGAGGTTTGTGGGTACTTTTCATATGAAAATCTCCGTCTAGAGGGGGGTCCAGGGAGTGGAGGGGAGGAACAGAATTGGAAGAAAATATCGTGTACGGTTTGAATCTGAATTTGAGTATTGAGTAAAGAGGAGTGATTTCCCACAACAGGGTCACTTAGTGCAGGGAACATTAAGTAGTTCGACGGAACGACAGAAAGGGACAGGGAAGAAGTACGAGTAGGGTCTACCAATGTCGCCTTCCGACCATCCACGAACGTCTAAAAATTGTCATTGTTGATGATTTTTACGTCCATATCGGCACAATTTCGATAATTTAGGAGGCTGGCTGCTTGGAGCCTTCCTGTCAGGGCCCAAAGGATTAAGACTGAGAGGGATACAACTTTCTAGTAGAGCCGACGGACGGAGATACTCTATTAGATTGTGTTAAAAAGACTAACCTCTAAGCTTCTGTACCCAAGTAGTGCTCTGGGATGGATCCTGAAGAGGGGGGGGGGGGAGCAGAGATGGACATGTTCCGACTACAGTGACCCCAACACAGTGGACACGTAAGGACAAGTAAGGACCCAAGTAGTGGATGTCCTGCGAGTGCTCTGGTGTGGTTTGCTCTTTCTTTCCCATCAAACATCTATCGTCCGTTTGCCCCTTCTTTCCCATCAAACATCTATCGTCCGTTTGCCCCTCCTTTCCCATCAAACATCTATCGTCCGTTTGCCCCTCCTTTCCCATCAAACATCTATCGTCCGTTTGCTCCTTCTTTCCCATCAAACATCTACCGTCCGTTTGCTCCATCAAACATCTATCGTCCGTTGGCCCCTCTTTCCCATCAAACATCTATCGTCCGTATCGCTCCAGTATCTTGTCCTTGTATATAACTCTCTAACACCTCTAATCTCTCTGTTACCCTCCAGCAACACCTCTAATCTTCGGCACTTATATGACCCAACTGTGTTACAAATGCCGTAAATCTTTAACTAAACAGCAATAAGTAGCGGCGGGCACTAGAGGGTTAAGATGACGCGTGGAGCGCCAGACAGAGGAGGGAGGAGGGTGTTTGTTGGCCCAACCAGCATCAGAAGGTGATTAAAGAAGCGAGAGAGTTGGAGACGCCGTGCGCTAACAACGGAGGCACTGCAGGGGGTGCGGCGAAATGCCGGGCGCTGACAACAGGGTGTGGGGCTAGCCTACATTGGCTGGGACAAGGGACAAGGGACATCTCATCCACCCCAGG